CTCGCACACTCGTCTTGCTATGGGTGCCAAGGACACGTTCTGGAAGGGACCTTATTAGGCTAAAGGGCTTGTGATTTTTGGAGAACTATTGATAAACTGCCCTCAAACCGAGTTGTAGTAATTTCCATTCTCTCCAGCAGCCGATTTCTGGCTCTGTGGTCTACACGCCACGCCAGGGTCGAGCTCATGCCTTCCCCCGTGATATGGACATGTTCTCCATTGAAAGTCAATTCAGTGCTTTAACTTGGTGAGTTTGAGTCCCCTCCTCCCTACCTGAACACTGAACTGATAATCCCAGGGCTGATAAAAGTGAGGAGAAATGGCTTCATCCTTTGCTGCTTGCTGGTAGGAATGGAAATTGTTGCAACATTTTTGGCAGGGGGTTTGGCAATATGTCCTCAGAACTTTAAGAGCAAGTATGCTCTTGTCTTATCTTCTAGAGATATATATGTTGAAATATATATGAATGAAATGATGGATGTCTGGAATTTGCTTGAAAACAATCCAGGGGAGCAGATAGCTGGGACTCCAGACAGACAAAACTTGATTGGCCATGAGTTGGAGTTGAGCGTGAGTGAAGGACACTTAGACATTTCCCTCATCTCTTTACTGGTGACGCTTAATTTTTGCAATAACGTGTAGTGTCTTTCAAAAGCAAAATCTTGGAACTTGTGATTGACTTTCTAGGAATTTATCTTAAAGAAAAAATTCTAAATGATAAAAAATAAACATCTCTTCTTTGGCAATATGAATTTTATTAGAGCTTACCAATATATTTCAGTGAGTATGTGTTTTAAACTGATAGAGAAACTTTTAACGTGTAGTTCATATTTATGAAGCAAACACACGTTAGCATACTCAAGCCGCAGACAGACTACTTACTCCCAGAACCCCAGGGGACCGCAGGGCGTGCTAAAGACTTCTTCAAGGATGGCTTTTTAACAGCATAATCACAACTGGGTGGCAACAATCTAATTTCCCAACAGTGGGGCGATCCTACCGTGATTTGTAGTGAATCTCATACCGTGGTGGGCCGTCGCAGTGATAGCGCTGAGACTTAACTCCTAGGCCACCAAGGAGGCCCTTAGTTTAGTTTTAGCCGTTTCTTTGTTTCGTGTCTCCATACCGGATGAGTGAAATCTGGTATTTGTCTTTCTCCTGATTCTTTTCACCAAGCATCACCTCCTCAAGCTCCGTCTGTGTTGTCACAAAAGGGAAACGTTCGTCTTGGTAGATGAGCAATAGTCCAGCCGAGCATATATACACCACAGCGTTTTTTAAATCCAGTCATCCATTGGTGGACATTTAAGTGTTTCCGTGTCATGGCTACTGTGAATAATGCTGCTATGAATGCAGGGGTGCAGATGTACCTTCAAATGAGTGTTTTCATTTTCCTCAGCTCAGTATCTAGGAGCGTCAACAGTATTTACGGAAGATCCTGTATATGCTGAGCTGTGCTCTGTGAACTGGGGCTCCAGGGAGAGACAGGACAGAGACCATCTTTGCTGTGTTATTACTCACATTTCCAACTACCTGATGACAACTTCCTGGATAAGCCACCTCAGAGTCAGCGGATCCCAAAGCAGTCTCCTCTGGAATCTTCCCCCATCCTGCTCTGACTGTTCACATAGCAGAGCTCCTGGAAACTTTCTCTTGCATATTGTTTAGAAACATCTTTGAGTGAGTCTGCATGGCCAGCACTGGACACGGGGATCATGAGAACCAGCCCCACAGGGGCTGGCCCGCCTCTGAGGTGCCTGGGAGTTGCCAGCTCCAAGCACTTTTGCCTCCTTTGCTTGTTCTGCCAAAACGGTTTAGCAGGGAGGCTGGGGAAAGAGGTGGAATGGTAGGAGGCCAGAGGAGAGGGACTAGATTCCCAGGATTCAAGTTGGCACTGGCGTGGCTGTGAGTTACCACACAGAGCCAGGCAGCCGGAGGGAAGAGGCTCTGATGAGAGGCAGTTTTATAAGGAACATGAGAAACTTGCTCTGCTGAACAGCTCTGGGGGGTGCAGACATGCCAGCCTTCAGCACCTCTCACCTGCCTGAATGCTTCCTGCTCTTGCTCTCCAGGGGACTCAGACCACAGGATCACACACATCATACACATACACATGCGTGCACACACACACATGCATGCACACACATACACACTGGCTCCTCCACCTCATACCCAGAAAGTCCTTAGACAGGAAATACAGAGCACCAATTTGGATAGAACTTTTATTTTTCATCTTTTCCAGAAGTCCCCCTTGGGATGGGGCTGTGATGGAAGTTGGAGCACAAATGGAAACTTTAGCTTCCAGAATTTTTCTCTCTATATGAACAGAAAGGGAATGTGCAAGTGAAAAGAACTCCTGCATCCAGTTTACCTCCCAGCTTGGCCCATGTCTGAAACCACAGTGTCACTCCTCTCTCATCAAGGGAAGGAGATGATGAATTTCAGAGCAGAAAGGGCTTAGTACCAGGTCTCTCACTTAAAGGCTCTGTCAATTCAGGGCCTGTTTCTGAACACCCCAAACTCGATCTGGTTATGGAAATGCCAGCACCACAAAGACAGCATTTTTTGCTGTTCTGCAAACATGCCTGACATAATAGAAGCTCATAGCAAGAAATTAACTAATTTCAGGGCATTTATATTAACTTTCCCCTCTGGACAGAGAGTCGCCTAGCTGACTTCTCACCTCATTTTTGTCTGCAAGAGTTATCCACAAGGGGCACTTGACTCTGTTGTCTCAGAACGGCACCCCCTCCTCTGTCACTTCACCCCTTGGCCTCCTCGGTTTTGCTCTCTAGCATATGCTCACTTGTGAGTCCATCATCACTTCCCCACCAGTACTTCCTGGGGGGGCACAGAGTGCCCCTAACTGCTGTGTCTCCAGCCCCTGGAACAGAGATCAGCAGAGCTGGAGCTCAGTAAGTGATGTGCTGAGTGAGCGAGCGAAGGCACGATTGTGTGCAGATGCCATAGAGCGAGCTTAACCCCTCGACTGGTGCAGCAGGAGCGAGAGAGCTTCTAGTGTTAATGATGCTGATGATGGCGCCTGAGTCTGCTCTGAGGCTGCCACGCGGTGGACTGATGGTCCTGAGTGAGTCCTGGTGGGTGATGCGAGCTGGAGACTGCTCTTCTGCCCTGCCTGCCCCTCCTTCTTACCACACTGATGGGGCCTCCACAGGACAGTGCTGCTGTTGCCAACTCCCGCTCTTACTTTTTGCTCTTGGTGGAATTCCCACAAGGCTTTGGGAGCTTATCACGCCCTCTCCCCAGCTCTTGAATAAAAACACTTTCAGATCCTTCATACTAACATGCTGCACCTCCCCCTGCAGTGACCTTTAGGGCTTACCGGCCCTAGGTCCGGCTGGGCAACCAGCGCGTAGGGGAAGAACAGCAAAACCCTACCTGCTGCACCTCCCCCCGCAGTGATCTTTAGGAATGGCTTTCGCCACGGTCCCTAGATCCGGCTGGGCAACCAGCGCGCGGGGAGAGAACAGCCTGAAGCAGAGGAAGTGCAGCGGAAGTTCCCTGAAAAGGCAGAAGCTTATCAAACGATAACGACCACCAAGAACCACTACGAGAATGCTAAAAAATCTTATCCCGTCTTTCTAGAACTACAAACTTTAATCCCTTATCTGTCTTTCTAAACTTCCTCCTTTCTTCTATAATGGTCATTGCTTGTTATGTAGATCACCTCCCTGATGGTGACAGACTGAGCCCATGAGCAAGCTAATTTCTTTGATATTCATTCCTGTGCTTTTGGAAAACATATATATACTGGTCACAAACTCAAAGAAAATTACACTCAGATTTTCACTCTTGAAGTGTGTCTGTTTGTCATTTTCTTTCGCTGACGCCCTGACCACCCTGCACGCTTCTCTCAACCCTGAGGTGGCCTCATCGTCTACTGTCTACTGCTGTGCTGGTCCGTGGCACTAACATGCAAATGGCTAACAGCAGCATCAGCTCCTCACCCCACCATACTCCAGCCTGGGGTCTCTCTGTCTTCTAGGAATTTCTCATCTTTCTTTCCTCTATTTAGTCCTTTAGATCTTGTCATCTGTCTAAAGTGCTGCCATTCCACCCTATTTCCTACTTGAGGAAACTCTCTCCAATATCCAGTACGACCTCCTTCCTGAAGTTCACCCCAGTTTCTGCCTGCTCGCTTCAGTTTTGCATGTTTTTTGTTTGTTTGTTTATTTTTTGTGTTTTATTTTTTAATTTTTTTGCTGTCCTCTGGCGTCTCGGTCACAGGACACTGCCTTTATGCCATCCGTGTCCCTCGGCCAGCAGGGAGCTCCTCGACACTAGGGTGCCTGCGTGTGAGGGGTGGTGATGGGCTATGACTTGAGTCCGTGGGGACCACCCACTCAGTCTTGAGTCGTGACTTTTAGAGCTCCTGGTTTCAAGCGCTGCCTCCCCTCTCACCAGCTGTGAGACCCTGCCAAGTGTCTCAATCACACCCTACCCCATGTGTCCCACTTGCAATCAAAGATCCTAGTTGGTACAGGCCAATAAGGGCCAACACCCAACCAATGTCTGGAAGTATAATGATAGGGATGGGGGATGGATCACCTCTGGGGGCAACTTAGGATGGGTGGATGCGTCCCCACTGGCACACAGGAGCCTGCTGGCAGAGAAACGAAACAATAGTTGACTATGTTTCTGAAAAACTCCGAGACGTTTATTATCTTTGTTCAAGCAGCAGAGATTGCATCAACTGAAATCACCACTCAGGTCCTTTGAGCTCAAGGGCAGGCCCTCCCTGCGTATAGACACACAGCGGTGTGGGCCTGGAAACATCAGCTGATGGTAATAGCCCTGAAAATCACATAGAAGGAAATGGATATAAAGCAAATTCCAAAACACACAAATAAAAATGACAAAATGTCTAAATATCCAATGTGCCCCGTAGCACAAATGTTCACCTCACGGGGAGCACGGAGAGTTGAACGGCGTGGAAGTTCTCACCAGACCCCTCCCCAGGGGCCCTGCTCTCTGCAGCCTCAGCACGCAGTGCCCTGCAGCATGGTGATGAAGAACTCGCAGAGAGAGCTCCAGGGCTCCCCACAGTACTCCAGGGCTGTGCTCTTCTGTTGCACCATATCCGGGTCGTCCAAGCACTTGGGGTCCTTGGTGGGCCTGGTCCGGGTCCCCGCCGGGCTGGAGAGAGCGTTGCCTTCCACGGCACTCTGCTCCCTGGATGCGAGCTTCGTGTCCTCCAGGTGGGGTTTCTTGTTCTGAATCAGAGTGGAGTTCGCCAGCTTGAGATTGGATTCTGGAAAGTTCTTTCTGCACACCCTGCTCTTCAGCACACTCTTGGCATCCCCACAGAGGACCTTCTGAGACCGCAGGTTCCGAGCGATTTGTTTCCAATACGCGCTTTTCTTGTGCAGTTCTAAGCAAGAGGTTGGATTGCCAGTGTAGACACAGGAAAACTTTGTGTCCTGCCTGGTGCACTCGACCTTCAGAGCAATGCCCTTCTCCTGCTCGGTCACTGCCCAGCTGCAATCAGCCTGGTCTCGCGTGACAAATTTGCCTTTGGTCAGGCGCTTGGGCGACTGATTTCTCTGCTCAATCCGGGCCTGGCGAGAGTGCATTTTATCTGCGGTGGCTTGGCTGCCATGTCTGAGTTTGACTTCCTTTTTGCCCTCCCCCAGGAGCGCCTGAGCGGCCAGGAGGAGGAAGGACAGCAAGGTGAGGCTCCGGATCCTCATGGCTGCGGCTTGGTGAGGACCTACTGGATGAAAGGCAGGTGAATCAGCGCCGGCTGCACCTGGCCCTCCCTCTGCCCTGACACACACCTGCTTGCTTAGCAGTGAATTCACAACTCTCTGGTTTCTGGAATTACCGGACAAGCAGCTCATTGTCACATTGCTGCTTGCGTTGAATGTCAAACCTTATTCATTCTTTCACCCCTCGCTGAGTTTCAGGAATGCTCACTCTCATTCACTCACTCATTTACTCCTGATTTCCTCACCCACTCCTTCATTCATCCTTCACGGGTACCTCTATTCATTCATCTGGGGCACCTACTCTGTGCCAGCCACTGGCTAGATGTTGGGTTGAACAAGGCAGAGGAGCGTGCCACGTCTACACTAGCTCAGCAGCAACTCTTAATGAACTCAAATAGCAATGGTTAAGAGTTTCTTCCAATTCTGCCCCCAGCTAGATCTTGGGGAAATCTTACCCCCACCTGGGTCTCAGTTTCTTCATCTAGAAATTGAAAGTTTGGACATAATAATTGTCAAACTCTCTTCCAGCTCCAAGGTGCTGGATTTCTAACTCACTGTTCTACACAAACTCGCACAAAGAGAAAGGGATGTGGTAAGTGACACTAAAAAGGATGTTTCCTGGGCCTCCCCGGTGGCGCAGCGGTTGAGCGCTGGGCTGCAAAGCTGCCCGCGGCCTCTGGGGCGCCGGTTTGATCCCCGGCCGCTCCCCGGCCACCGGAGGAGGGTCCCACATGGCACGCAGACCTCTCCTGCCGCCCGCTGCTCCCCTCAGCAGTGGACTTCGGTCCTTCTGCCTGTTCTGCTCCCCGCTCTGGCTCTGGTGGATCCTCTCACCCTCCCGCGCTTCTGACTGTACCCAGTGCTTGTATAAATAAATAAATAAATCTTTAAAAAAAAAGGATGTTTCCTGAGGTTAAACACTCATGGGGTTTGGACATTCTGAGATGGGTGGGTCTGCAAGGGGGCATTTGGGTGAACAGGGTGGATAAGAGTGTATTTCAACTGGAGCATTTATACTACAGGTTGAAAGAAATACCTAACTGATTTCTGGAGCTCTGCTCTGGGTAGGTGCTGAGATACTAACATTATTCATCAATGCTTTTAAACAAGCCATTGCATAGGATGACCTTGAATGCTGTATACCAGCCTGCATGGATTTTATCACGTGGGCAACAAAAGCCACACTTGAAAGGAGTAGGGATGTACCGCTCCTCCTGGACACCTACTATGCGCTGGGCACCTGACCACCATTTGATTCTGACCTTGTGCATGCAGCCGGCCCTGCTTGGTAGGTCAGGATAAATCCGTGCAGGCTAACAGGTGGCCGTTGAGGCTCAGACCGTTAAGTTAATAAATGCTCAGGGTGCCATCATGGGCACGGGACAACATCTCAGGCAGAACTTATCTTCAGAACTTATCTCTCGGGTCTTTAAATCACCCACGTTGGTCATTTCTTGCCTTCACCTCACTCTGCCTTTCAGAAAATATTGGCAAGAAATAAAAAAACAATTATGACTCCTCCTGACTTCGCTTATGATGATACACTTCATATTATCAATGTTCCATTTTATTTTATTTTTTTAAATGTCTAAAAAATTTATTTTATTTATTTATGCATATAAGAATGTGGGTTTAGACCAGAGGTGTGGGGCTACAGTGGGGTGAGAGGATTCACCAGAGACAGAGTGGGGAGCAGAACAGTCAGCTCTCCCGATATACACTGCTGAGGGGAGCAGTGGGCGAGACAGGAGAGGTCTGCTGTGTCATGTGGGTCAGCTCCCTGGCTGGGGATCGAACTCAGGCCACAATGACTGGCAATAGCTTGATAGCACTGAGACTTTTACCCCTGCACCACCAGGGAGGCCTTCAGTGCTTCATTTTAAATAAAATATGGGGTTTTGTTTAAAGAGTAGCAGGTCTAGGATGAAGTCCAGGGCTCACTTCTACCCTGAGGTTCTGGTCTCCCCTTAGAGGGACCATCATAGGCATGGTGGGATGCCAATGGGCCAGATGATCACCCCCTTATCCCTAAGGCAGCCCCACATGTCCCTGATGGAATCCAGACCCCAGGGACCTGAGGATCCGGGAGATGGAAGCAGGATGGGCAGGGGGAATCTTAAGAGAGCAGGTCCTACCTTATCCTCGCATGCAGGCCCCAGGTAGTCCAGGTGAGGTGAGCTTGCTGCGCGGTCTCTTCTGCAGAGCAGGCAGGGAAGCCCTTTTATAGCAGTCCAGGCAGAGAGGGTTTTACAACACACACACCTGTGGAGCTGCATTCACATGCTTCCAGCCACACCCTCCCTTTGGAGGGAGCCAGTTCCCGCAGGGACAGTGTGGGTGTAATCCTGGGGACGTGGGAGTTACGTGCCTGGCATTAGACTGATTCCTCCAAGTCCTTTCCTGTCCCCCCTAGAGAGGAGAACTGGGTTTGGAAAAGACCTTCCTGATGGGAGGAGAATCCTGGCAGCAGTGTCTGTGGGGGAAGGAAGAACAATAACCTCTTGGTCCCAAAGCTCGCCCTTGCTTCTCATCAAATCCACTGTGTGGCAGGGTCACCTGTAATCACCTGGTTTTCCCAATGGAAGATCAGAGCCTGGCCGTGTTGGGGGCTGGTCCAAGGTCACAGGGCTAGAGGATGAGCAGCCAAGGTCAAGCCTGGCCCCGCTGCAGCCGCTGTGTGATCTCTGCCTGCCACTCTCAGTCTGTCTGTGAGCCTGCGGCTGGCTGGGGGTGGGGGCGGGGGTGGGGCGCCATCTAATTTTGGGAGTCCCTGTGCTCCCCGGGCACCTGAAGTCACTGTGTGAGCAAAAGGCCCTTGGGCCCTGGGAGGCTGGTTAAGGGGACTCCTGACCTGGGGACTCCTGCTGAAAACACTCACCCGCAGGCGACCCTGGGGCCCTGGCCCGTCAGTGTGTCCAGGAGCACCTCGGCAGAGCGGGCCAGGCGAGGTCCTGGGGATGAGTCTGAACTGTGCGAGGCAGCAGGCCAAATTTGTCAGGAATCAGCCCCTCCTTCGACAGCACCGGCAGACAATATCATTGTCGCTGCATCAAAGATATGCTCATTTGTTGGGTCAACTCAAGTGCATTAAAGACTTACTCACTATTCAGAAAATGAGGAGACTGACTAAATGAACATCAACTAAAATCCAGTTAGGTGGCAAAACACAGCCATTGTCCTGAGCTGTCCTGGCATCAGTTTGAAGTGTCCATTAGTCATGCGGTCTCAGAATTCCTGCTCAGCAGGTCAGATGATACATCGGGCTCACGAGGCATCGAGTTGATCCCTGTTGGCTCAGCTCATCTCAAGAGGCTTTTTAGGCAGCTAGGGGCCTGGGGGAGCAGCAACCCCCCCCCCCATACCCTAATCAACCTCAGGGGCTGGGGTCCACACCCCAGAGAGCCGTGGCGGCAGCGTCTTGATTCCTCAACACAGCTGAGTTAACGTAGAAAGAAGTACAGGCTTGGTGCAATAGTTATAAAGGGGGGGGGCGGGGGTGGGGATTGAACATGGGAGAGGTACCCCAGTAAGCTATTTAATACCATTAGGAATTAGTGTGCTGACCGAGGCTTTAAAGAATTCATGCACTTAACCTGCACAGCTGCCGAAAGCTGCTGCCAACCAGTGGGAATTTGTCCGTTTCCTGGTTTCATTGACCGCAGTGTGAGCCCCCAGGTCAAGTGAGCTGCACCTCTATTTCCAGGTCACACTGCTGAGGGCCTCACGTGTCGCTGCAGTATCTCCCCCCAACCCCACAAGCCCTCTGCCTCTCCTGCCCCTGTCCTCCTCTGCCTGTGGCCCTGGGGGACACAGAGGGGGCCCCTGATCACATAGGCTGCCACCTTAAGTGACACATGTAGACATCCACCCCACTGGGTGGGGCATAGGGACAGATAATGCTGCCCCAGCCCGTCTGCTTGACCTCAGAACTTGCTTAGCAGCTCAAATATAAGAGATCAAGCTGTGAGATGAAAGTGTCACCTGAGTGTGATGGGGGAGAAAGAGGGGTCTGCTTTCATGCCCCTGGGGGGCCCAGGTTGGTAGAATAAGGGCTCCCCTGTTCTTTCAACTCCAGTTGATCTAAAAGCACAAGGAGGGCCTCCCCGGTGACGCAGCGGTTGAGCGCTGGGTTGCGAAACTGCCCGCAGCCTCTTCAGCGCCGGTTCGATCCCCAGCTGCTCCCCGGCCACCGGAGGAGGGTCCCACATGGCGCGCAGACCTCTCCTGCCGCCCGCTGCTCCCCTCAGCAGTGTACTTCAGTCCCTCTGCCTGCTCTGCTCCCCGCTCTGGCTCTGGTGAATTCTCTCACCCTCCCGCGCTTCTGACTGTACCCAGTGCTTGTTTAAATAAACAAATAAAAAATAATAAACACAGAACTTTAAAAATAAATAAATAAATAAAATAAAAGCACAAGGAGGGTCAGCCACCTCTTCTCACTTTCTCTTTAAAGCAATCATCTGCACAAATTCAAAGAATTCATTTGCATTGGATTTAGCTATGCACTAGCCTATTAATACAGCAGGTTTTCCTGGGTGCAGGTTCTGTTCTGGCTACTTCCCTGCATGTTGGGACCCCGGTGGTCCAATTTTTCAGGAGCACTGGCGACTCCATAGTGCCACCACGTGGTGCTCTTATCCTGGAAGACCAGATAGAAAGAATTCTCTCCCCTTTGAATATTTCAGTCTTCGCTACTTGATTGGTAATCACTCCACCACATCAGCAAAGCACTGCACTCTGTCACTGGCAAAGCCTTCACTGGACATGACTGCATCACGCCTTTATAACAATCCTATGAGGAGTGGCCGTTACTTCTGCTTGAAATAAAAATGGATAAAATGACTTAAACCACTTCCCTGAAGTAGTTTAACCACTTCCCTCAAGTGCCCACTGTCTCCTACTCCAGGTACAATAGTCTTTCTGCTTGACAGAAAAAGATGAAAATGACAACCTCTCCCCCAAAGGAAGCCTGACAGCCACTGAGTGCAGGATTCTGGGAAGAATTCAGAAGAGAAATCTTCTAAGACTTCAGCTCACAGCCTGGGCTGGCTCAGCACCTAGAAGCAGAGAGGGTCCGGGAAAGAAAGCAGAGGAGGAGCAGGGAAGGCGACCCCCTGGAAGGGTGGGTGCGGGGTGAGTGATTAAAAGACTGCAGGAGATTGAGATTGGGGACTTCTGTCTTTTCCCTGCCACCAACAAAGACTAGGGATAACAGAGAGTGCTCCCCTGCGGCAGCCCCTGCCGCTGAACGCCAGTGACCTTACTGGAAAGAGGGAGGCTTTCACTCAGACACACAGTACATCCGAGTGAATAAGACCCCCTTCCCCTGTGCGCTGGACTGGACAGTCAATGACGGGTAAGACCGGGGGCAGACTAAAGAAGGCACTGGCCAGCCGCATGTCTGCGACTCCTGACGACCTAAGACAGGCGCAGTCCCCGAGGGGCTTCATTATAATAATCTGTGGCGTTCAAATCAGACAAACGGCTAAAGGCCTGTAAGCCTAATCCAGGCATTAAGCCCACAGTAAAAAAAAAAAAACCCTTCTTTTGGCTGAGAACACGGCTGCTGCCTGATGGAGTCACCAACAAAGCAGTTTAACTATTAACCACTTGGTCATTGTTCCTGCATAAGAAGTAACTTAGCAACCAGTCTATAATTATACTCTTTTCTTACCTACTTTACTTTTTCTATATATGTGTAAAATCAGTTTCAGGAAATGCATGATGAAGAAAATAGTGTGTGGTAAAAGTAGTTTCAGAATAATGCTTCTCACATGAGTCAAAACCACAAAAATTAAATGCTTACGTAGAAATAATATTGTTCGTGATCACTAAATGTAAAATATAACAGTAGTTAAATATTAATACTTTCTGATTATTAGCGGTATTGGGAAAGAAACAAGAAAAACTAACTTGAGAAATGCTGTTCTGTATAATCAGAAATAATTGTGTAGAAATAGATTCCTGTAATCGGAACCTTGTGATTGTTTAGCGTTCCATGCCATGGAACACCGATCACATGTACCTGAATGATAAAGTAAATGTCCTTTGTATGACTAAACATCTCATGCTGAGAAAAAATAACTTGTATGCAATCATCCATTGTTTAAAAAAGGCATAAAAGTGTATGATGATTTTGAGCACATTACATTCAGATCTTCACGCTTGAAGTGTGTCTGTCTGTCATTTCTGCGCCGAATCCTTGACCGCCTAGCTCAGTCTCTCATCCCTGGGTCAGCCTTGCTAATCTGCCACTGCGCCTGTCGGCGGCGCTCCCCACCTTTTGTTCTTTTTTAGATTTATTTTATTTTTATACAAGAATGGGGTACAGGCCAGATGCGTGGGAAGGTGAGAGGATTCACCAGAGACAGAGCAGGGAACAGAACAGGCAGACTGACAAAACACACTGCTGAGGGGTGCAGCGGGCGAGACAGGAGAGGTCTGCTCGCCATTTGGGTTGCTCTGAGGCCGGCGGGGATCGAACCAGCATTGCAGAGGCTGCGGACAGCTTCACAGCACTGCGCTCAACCGCCCGCGCCACCAGGGAGGCCCTTGTTCTTTTTTAATTGGGACAAGTCACTGAGGCACGTCAACTTCTCTCCCCAATTCTTGAACAAAACTTTCAAATCCTTGATCCTAACATGTAAATGACTAACAGCAATGTCATGCTCGCATCTCACCACACGCCAAGCTAAGCAACCTCTTCCCGTCTTTCAGGATTTCTCAGATATTTGCTTTTGTACGTGCTGTCATCTGCCTGTATCCCCTCCTCTGCCCCAGTTCCTGCCTAAGATAGTCTCTGAAATCCAGCTTCAGTAACAACTCCTTTGGGAAGCTAACGCCAGGCTGTCTAGCACTTTCTACCACTTCCTTCCTGGTGTTCCAGGACAGATCCCCTCCACTGGAGTCTCCACTACAGAGCGCTGTCCTTACCAGACCCACCCCCAAGACCAGAAGTGAGCTCCACACAGCCAAAGGTCCCCCAAATGGTGGTTAGATTTGAGTTTGGACTTGAGCCAATAGAAGGTGCTCTTCTAGCCTCTGGATTTAGCTTTCAGAGCTCCTGGTTTAGATCATTGTGCCCCCTCACCACACAAACCCCAAATCTATAAGATCGTGACATGTGTCTTACTCACATCAAGTCCAAAGTGTCCCACAGGCCAGTAGGACCAACACCTGCACCGAGGCATGCAAGTGAAAGACAGGGATCATGGGGTGGATGGGTGAACAATGGAACCCAGTTCCTCGGATATTTTTCCATGAATATCTTGGGACCTGTTTATGAATTCACTTAAGACCGGATTTAGAGAAACCAAATAATATGAACACGTTTCTGACAAATTCCCAGCACTTTATTATCTTTGGTCATTGGACAGAAGTCCTCACCCTGGCTCTTGCAGCACAGGGCAGGGCCACACTCCCAGCTGCACACAGCATGTGGTGCGCGGCACGGCCCTGAGTGAACAGCCCCTGAACACACCACATCCCATGAGAGAAGATAAAGGACATTTAAGACAAACTTACAAAATCTCCTGAAATATTCCATTGCATTCCCATCAAACAAAAGCTCATATTACGCAGGAGACTTCAGACCTTCCCAGCACCCAAAGGGACTGACTCTGTGATACAGAGTCAGTTGCCTCGTTACAACCTTTTGTCCCAGAATACCAGGGCCAGTTGCTCCCAGCCTCCTCACGCTCTGCTGGACTCTAGCTTAGAGTGTGTCCTCGGTTAACTCAGGATATGTCTGCTGGTCTGTGTGCAGGTATGGGGAGAAGAGGTCCATCCTGGTAAACTGGCTGGTTCATGTGTGGGTACGGCAGGAAAGGTCCATCCTGGTAAATTGGCTGGTTCATGTCTGGGTATGGCAGGAAGGGGCCATCCTCGTATATTGTGTATGGCAGGAAGGGTATGTCCGGGTCTGGATACTTGATGTCAGTGTCGTCCACATGATCAAATTTGGTGGTGGTCTGCTGGGTGGTGGTGGTGGTCTGGGTGGTGGTAGTGGGCTGGGTGGTGGTGGTGGTCTGGGTGTGGTGGTGGTCTGGGTGGTGGTGGTGGGCTGTGTAGTGGTGGTGGGCTTGGTGGTTGTGGTGGTCTGGGTGGTGGTGGTGGGCTGTGTGGTGGTGGTGGTCTGGGTGGTGGTGGTGGGCTTGGTGGTGGTGGTGGTCTGGGTGGTGGTGGTGGGCTTGGTGGTGGTGGTGGTCTGGGTGGTGGTGGTGGGCTTGGTGGTAGTGGTGGGCTTGGTGGTGGTGGTGGGCTTGGTGGTGGTGGTGGTCTGGGTGGTGGTGGTGGGCTGGGTGGTGGTGGTGATGGTGGTGGTCTGGGTGGTGGTGGTGGGCTGTGTGGTGGTGGTGGTCTGGGTGGTGGTGGTGGGCTGTGTGGTGGTGGTAGTCTGGGTGGTGGTGGTGGGCTGTGTGGTGGTGGTGGTCTGGGTGGTGGTGGGCTCCCTGGTGGTGGTTACCTTGTCATGCCACCAGGGGACATGGTCCATCTTGTCCAGGCTGGTAGCATTGATCAGGGTAGAGTATGCCAGCTTGAGAGTGGATTCCGGGAAATTCCTGCCACACACCCTGGTGCTCAGGGCGGCACTGGCGTCCTTGCACATGCCCATCTGAGAGCGCAGGCCCTGGGCAATCTGTCTCCAGTAGATCATCTTCTTGGTGACACTTGTCGTGCAGGAGGTTGGGTCACCAACAAAGAAACAGGAGAACTTACGGCTGAGCTGGGTGCACTCCACCTGGAGGGCGATGCCCTCCCGCTGCTCCCGCACAGACACGCTGCATTTGTTGTCGTCCCGGGTGAGGATGGTGCCGCTGTGCTGGTAGCTGGGCTGGGAGCTTCCCAGCAGGCTCTGGGGCTGCCCCAGTCGGTGCCACCATGGAAGCTTGATTATTCGGGGTCCATCCCATGACTCTGAGGTCGCCTCCCCCGGAAGGCCCCCAGTGGCCAGGAGGAGGAAGGACAGCAGGAGCAGCCTCTGCATCCTCAGGCTGCGGCCTGGGGTGCACCTGTTGGGTGAAAGGCGGGGGCAGTGAGTCAGAAGGAAAAAGAAAAATATCGGATGGTTTCACTTACAGCAGGAATATAGGGGAACCCAATAAGACATCCGTGTAAAAAATAACAAGAGTACAAAACACAACAAAGCAAAAACAGACGATTATAATCCACAGACATCCTGCAGGGGAGGAGGCGAGAGGATCAGAGGTGGGGAGGGAGGGAGGAGCCCAGGGGACTGGGGTGATGGTGCACGGGTGCCTCGGGAAGGGAACTCTATTGGGACGACACCTGAGGGGGTGGGGGAAGCAAATACTTTTTAAAAATGAACAATGATGTAAAAAAAATAAAGAAAGACGGTGAGTCAGTCCCGGGCAGCAGCTCAGCCACAGGGCGCTGCACCTGCCCTCCCTCCACCTGGCACGCCTGCCTTCCTGGGGGCTGGAGAGAGGTGTGGCGCCTGTGCTGGCTACTCTCCATCTGCTCTCTCTTCTTCACTCACTCAGCAAGGATTGAGGGGGCACCTCCGATATGCCAGGACTACCCCAGGTGTTAAGTAACTGAGGTGGTTAAGGAAGTCTCATGTCTTAAGAAATAGAACTGAAGCACAGGCGGAGCAGGGTGAGGGGCAGGGGAGGGTTGAGGGGCGCTGGAGGGGTGAGGACAACGAGGGAGGGAAGCGCACGATGGCGCTGGCCACGGGTGATTTAGTGGTGGGTGCACCGCAGTGGCAATGCCTGGTCAGGTGTCCTACTATTACCTTAAATAAAAAAAAAAAAAAAAACAGATGACTTGGGTGATTTAAATCGGGTTAAGCAGCAGTCCATCCCAACTGCGACTCCCACTTCATCTTGGGCGCTCCCTGTCCCCCTCTAGGTCTCAGTTCTGTAATTGGAAGTGGGGGTGTCAGAGGGTCAGACCCTGTGCAAAGCCTTATGCTGGAAATCTCCCTGTGGGGTTTCGTGGACTCACGGCCACACAGTGAGAACAGCTGGCAGGACAAGGCAGATGTTTGCTGGGGTTACCCATGCACAAGGTTTGGGGGTTTGAGGGGGCTGGGGTGGGGCTGGGGGCCTGAAGGAAAGGCCTGAAGGTAGGGAGGGCTCTGAGTTGATGGGAAAACGCAACTCCAGTAGGATGGAGTGAATTTCAACCAGAGCATTTAGACATGTTTGAAGCAAAGATCTGCCTAATTGTTTCTGGTGCCCTGGTGTTGACACACACCATATACTGTGTCCCTAAGCAGAGCCCCTCTTAATAAAACATAAATACATGAAATTATTGAATGATAGGATGACATTAAAAAAACACTACACTGTATAGATTTAATCTGGCTGACTACAGACATCAGGATGTTGGGAACCTGCTGGTGCTAAGCTTTCTGCCAGCCTTGGGTTCTTGCCTTGTTTGATCTGTGCAAGAGCCCAGATGGGCTGTAGTATCAGATCTCCCCCAGGGAGCAGAAGTGGTAAATAAATGTTCAATATCCCATAGTGGGCAAATGGCAAAGCTAGGGCGGCCGGAGAACCTCTCCTGCTGTCCACACCCACTTGGTCACCCTTTGTGGCCATCCTTACTCCATCCTTACTCCATCCTTTGTAAAATATCAGCAACAAGGAAGAAACCATCAACCACTCAGGCTGGTCAGCCAAGTTCAAGACGAGATCTATGGCTAATAATTCACATTAGCAACGCTCCATTGAAAAAGAAAATACTGAATTCTGCTTTCAAAAGAGACTGTTTGCGGATAGTCCAGATCGCATGTCCCCCTGGGGCTGGTCTCCCGTTAGGAAGGAGAAAGGGAAAGACATCACAGGTAAGGAGCGAGGCCAGAGGGCCAGATGATCGCCCCCTTGTCCCTAAGGCAGCGGGTCTCAGCCCCACACGTCCCTGATGGGATCCAGACCCCAGGGACCCGAGGATCCAGGAGATGGAAGCGGGATGAGCAGGGGGAGGCGTAAGGGAGCAGGTCCTACCTTATCCTCGCATGCAGGCCCCGGGCAGTCCAGGTGGTTGCCTTGGTCTCTTCTGCTGAGCAGGCAGGGAAGCCCTTTTTTGTAGCAGCCCAGATCTCTGAGTTGTGTTCCAGCTAGAGATCAGAGATCTTTATCACCCTTCTGCCAGTCACACCCCTTCAGAGGAGTCAATACCTGCAGGGTAAGTGCAGTTGTTACCCTGAGGGGGTGGGGGTTACGTGCCTGGCATTAGACTGATTCCTCCAAGTCCTTTCCTGTCCCCCCAGAGAGGAGAACTGGGTTTGGAAAAGACCTTCCTGATGGGAGGAGAACCCCGGCAGCAGTGTCTGTGGGGGAAGGAAGAACAATAACCTCTTGACCCCAAAGCTCGCCCTTGCTTCTCATCAAATCCACTGTGTGGCAGGGTCACCTGTAATCACCTGGTTTTCCCAATGGAAGATCAGAGCCTGGCCGTGTTGGGGGCTGGTCCAAGGTCACAGGGCTAGAGGATGAGCAGCCAAGGTCAAGCCTGGCCCCGCTGCAGCCGCTGTGTGATCTCCACCTGCCACTCTCAGTCTGTCTGTGAGCCTGCGGCTGGCTGGGGGCGGGGGTGGGGGTGGGGCGCCATCTAATTTTTGGAGTCCCTGTGCTCCCAGGGCACCTGAAGTCACTGTGTGAGCAAAGGGCCCTTGGGCCCTGGGAGGCTGGTTAAGGGGACTCCTGACCTGGGGGTTCCTGCTGAAAACACTCACCCACAGGCGACCCTGGGGCCCTGGCCCGTCAGCGTGCCCAGCAGCATCTGGGCAGACCGGGCCAGGCGAGGTCCTGGGGATGCTGAGAGCTGTGTGGCCTCCGCCAGAGCAACGACACTCTCTGACCCTCCACCTGTTCCCCGACTGCCTGGCGACCATGGCAGTTCCCCTCTTAGGGCTGCACACTAAATTATTATGGACTGAGCTATTCACATGAAGAGAATCAGAGCAAATTTGGTATATAAAGTGGCCTTCATGCATTTCTTTTTATAAATGTCTATTTTTTTTAAAGATTATTTTTATACAAGAGCTGGGGTACAGGCCAGAGATGCAGGGGGTGAGAGGAGTCACCAGAGACAGAGTGGGGAGCAGAACAGGCAGACTGACTGAAATACACTGCTGAGGGGAGCAGCGGGCAAGACAGAGAGGTCTGCTGTGCCATGTGGGTCACCTCCCTGGCCGACCCAGAATCAAACCCGCGCTGCGGAGGCTGTGGACAGCTTCACAGCGCTGTGCTCAGCCTGCTGTGCCACCGGGAAGGCCCCTTCATGCATTTTTAAAAAGAGATACGTTGTGTTGATGTGAGCATGCAGGAGGACACTTCCACGTCACACACCTTTCTGTGCTTGGCAGGGAGACACGACACTCGTGCCCACGGCCCTCAGCCTCGCTGCCATGGCACCCCACCCTGCCTGCTTCTTCCTCTCCAGTGGGGGCAGGTATTAGACCAGCCGGGCAGTGCTTCCTGCTTTTCAGTCTGTCATTCCAAAAATTTTACACACACACACACACACACACACACACACACACACACACATGCATGCACACAGCCCACACACTTCATTCTGGCCACACTAAACTACTCATACCCCGAGTGTTCTAGAGGAGGGTTTTGAGGGGGCTCGGAGCCCCAGCAAGGCTGCTCGTGGCAGGTCCCCCCCGCACCTCCCCACACCCCAGGACCAGGGTGTCTCTGACCTGACGACTAGGAGGTGCATTAATTAAAAAAAAAAAAAAAAAAAAACACGCCCCAGGAGGAAAGTGCACTCTGGACCTGAGGCACAGTGAGCGGAGGCTCAGGGCCCAAGCGGTGCGAGTGGCCCGAGGTCTGGGTGTGGAGACTGGGCGTGTGGCTGATTAACCTCCCAGCAGAGTATTTTGGAAGCACTTTTATGATCCTACACAATCTATTTGGGTCCTACACAATCTATTTGGGTCCTACACAATTGTAGAGGCCGGACTGGACGCGGTGCAGGTTTTCTGATCCCATGCAGACCGGGTAAAGGAGGAGTCAGAGTCCTCAGTGGTTTTGCAGGTTTTTTATTAGGGGTTCACCAGGCATATGGCAGGCAGGGGTGCTGGCCTGCCAGCCTCCCAGCAAGTCTTTACTCTATCTGGGCTCTCTAGCGTTCGTTCTGCTGCTTCTCGGCTTCTGCTTCGGCTTCGGCTGCTACTGCTGCTGGTGCTGCTCCTACTGTTGCTGCTGCTGGCGTCCCCATGACGCCGCCCTTAAAAGCACAGTCTTAACTCAGCTGAATCCCATCCACCTATGCCCACACCCTATTCCAGGTGCCCGCCATCAGGCATGCATTCAGGACAAGGATCCATCATCTATCCTGATGGCGGAAGGGCAGAAAAGCCTGATATTTTCTTTACCCTACAACAATCTATTTTTTTTTAAGATTGATTTATTTATACAAGAGCTGGGGTACAGGCCGGTGGCACGGAAAAGTGAGAAGATCCACCAGAGGGGGGGCCAGAATGGGCAGATGGACTGCAATACACTGCTGAGGGGAGCAGTGGGCCAGACAGGACCCTTCCCGCTGTCCTGTGTCCCTCGGTGTTCTCAGAAGGATCCTCAGCAGTTGCCTGCATGTCACTGGTGTTTCCATCACAATGTGTCCGTCATGTGATGCGATACCAACATTCCCCAGCAGAAGAGCAAAGGGCGGGCAGCGGAAGGGCTCATCCGCCGGGCAGTGGAGGAGGGAGGCCGACTCTGACCCCTGCGCCCACAGTCCCGGTGTCCCTCCTCCACCCTCTGTCTCCTCCGCACTGTCCACAGTCCAGCTTCATTCTTAGGCCTCTTTCCAGCTGCCGTCGAACAGAAGCTGTCTACAGTCTAGCTTCAAGTCCCAGCCCCTCTGAACTCAAGAGAAATTTTTGGAATCTGCTCTCTGGCTCCTTCGGTTGCAGGGAGCAGAGAGGCACAGAGGCAGCCCCCCAAAAGGCAGGGGCCTTGGATGGGGGTGTTCTCAGTAGAAAAAGGGGCTTCTGTTATCCATGGAAACAGAAAAGCCAAAGGGCTACACTTCAAAGTACTCAAAGAACAAATCTAGATAATAAGTTGTAGTGGAATTTTAGCACCTCTGGTTCACTGAGAAAGAGTTCCTCAAGGCTGGAAACAATTTAGCCAATTAGCAAAGCCTGTTCCTATTAATGGGCCAGAACTGTAATTCTTATTGAGGATCAGTAAGTCAATTAAGTCCTGACAGAAAGTGGAAGGTGAGGCAGGAAAGCTCAAGAGAGGTCTTGCTTTCAAGTGAGAGCTTTATCCCTCAGGCTGAGGATTTAAAATCGGCACCCTCGTTGCCCCTTCAGTGCCCTTGGCAGGCCCTCCATGTGCCCCTGGGCCCTCCTGCACACCTGGGTACAGCTCCAGGAGTCACTTCAACCCAGACCCCAGAAGGCTGCTCACAACCCTCCGGAGCTGGCAGGAAAGACAATACCCACTCGTCTTTCTTGCCATCAGTGGGGCTTTTGAATATTTTGGATATTTTCACCCAGGAGAGATCATGCACAGCTGTGCAGAAGACACTGACCATGTATCAGGAGTGGGATTTACACTTGATGCGTATTAACCCTCAGGAAGAAAGCAGAAACAAGCAGCGTTCACAGCCTAGTGGAAATGAGGGATTTGTCTCCTGAATCACTAGGGGGATGGGAAGGAGAATCGGGGTGTAGAGAGGCATCTGGGTGTCAGTGTGAAGACCCGAATCTGAACACTGCCTCCACGACAAGACCCTGTCTTTGTTGGGGATTGAAGCTGAAAAATACCTAACAAAATTCCTCTTATCCTTCCATCGAAGCTTAAGACATTATCCCCGTTTACAATTGAGAAAAGTGAGGTACAAATATTAAGTGTTTTTGCCTCAAGGTATCTAGAGATGATGGTGGTGATGAGGCTGGTGGGGGGCCTGGGTGTTGATGTTTATTCGATGGTGCTGCAGCAGGTGCTGGCAGTGCGGTTGATGGTGGTGATGATGATGATACCGATAATGCCATTAACCACTGTCAAAGCGCTTCTACATTCCAAGCACCTTTCCAAAGTCTTATCTGCATTTTCACAGGAATCCTATCACAACCCCCTTTTCACAAAGGTGGGAGCAAAACCAGAGAAAGATAAGATCCTTTGTAGACAAGTTACTGACACCTGGAAAATCAATTCCACGGCTGTGTAAGAGGAAGAACTGTACCTAACTCCGAGGCAGGCTGTGTGCGCAGGAGGCAACAGGCCACGTGTGCTTCCAGAGCCAGACACACGCCAGGGCCGCCTGCCCGTCTGTGCCTGTGCATTGAGAAACTCTCCCTTCCTATTCTCCATCCCTATTCTCTTAGTTCATTAAGTTTTAAGAAACAGAACAGATTTAGATTTTGGGGGGAAATGCAGCATCTCCCTGTTCCCTTCTCACCACGTCCCCCTATTGCTACGCCCCTAGGTTTCTATGCCACATATAAGGACACCTTTGTACTGATATTGATAGATTAGTATTAAAATCCATACTTTATTCGGACTGCCTTAAACTTAGCTTATGTTCATTTTTAGTTTTTATTAAACTATTTTAAGGCAGTTTTAGGTTCACAGTAAACTGCAGTGGAGACCAAGGAGAGTCCCCATGTCCTCCAGGCTGTTGACTACATGCAGCCAGCCCCACTGTCAGTACAGCCAACCACATACAGCCAACCCCACTATGGAAGTTGTTCATTTCTTGCAATCTATGAACCATCCGTGATTATTGCTAAAGTCCATTGTTTCCATTATAGGCACTCTCCATCATATGGATTTTATGAATTAAAAAAAACCCTCTAACGACATATACCCAACATTTTGGCACATACACAACAGTTTCAATGCCCTAAAAATCATCTTTGTTGTTTTATCACACAGGAGAATCATCCATCTCCCTTCCCAGCCCCTGGAAATTACTGATCTTTCCTTATCTCCATAGATTTGTCTCTCCAGAAGCTCATATGTTAGGAGTGAGACAAAATGCAGTCCTTTCAGATTAGTTTCTTTCAGGCAGCTCCATCATCCGAGGATTCTTTGACGTCTTGATGGCCTGAGAGCTCACAGGTGTTGGGAGCGATGACACTCTGCATTTATCCACTCTCCTCCCAGACTTTGGCATTGAAGACAACAGCTGCTATTGGCTTCCATGCACACATCAGTTTCCAGCGACTCCTGGTCTCTTTTGTCCGTGATCTCAGACTCCACATGACGGTCAGCAGCCATGATTTGTTGCATCTCTAAGGACGGACAGTATCTCAGTCCTTATTTATGATCTTGACAGTTTTTGCAAAACTAGTCATGTGTTTTGAGACTATATACCTTTTGGAATTTGTTTAGTTTTTTTTTTTTCCTCATGATTAGAATAGGGTCATGTCATCTCTCTCTTCATTCAGGATAAAGGGTGAATATGAGCTTCTATTTGGGGCCCCCAGAGGGAGTCTGAACATGCAGGGAGCCACCCACCAAGAGGCTAGGGCTGGGGGTTGAGGACATCGCTCATGCAGCCTGATTGCTGGCAGGTGATGTCAAGTTCAAAAGCTGATTTTGTTTTGTTTTGTTTTGTTTTGTTTTTTCTATGGGATTCTTCTTTCAGATTCTTTTTTTAATAATAAATTTTATTTTTATATTCCCCATACAATTGCAACCCCCTTATTTTGACCCCAATCCCTCCCCTCCTGCCCCCTAACCCCCACAGAGTGTCTCTGGTTCATAGTTTTTTGTTGATTTTGATTTTCACTTTCTTATAGCTATTCTTTT